GAGAGAGGAGGCAACCTTGTAACCTGAAGAGCTACAGAGCTTCCAGGATCAGGCTGGATGGTTGCCTGAGGGTTGCACATAGGAGAGTACATGCAGTGCAGATGGCCAGTGGAAATGAGTTTGAGGATATAGTTACTGTTCTATACATGTCATTGTAGACATGCTCCAGGAGACTGATAATCCCAAGCCCTTCCCTCAAAGGATCATAAGCAAAAAGCAAACAACCCTCCTCCCCTCAATGCGAACCCCGAGGTAGCATGTTCCACACATTAATCAGTCCACTTGACTTCCCGCATTCTCTCCTCCCTGCATCCTTCACCTGTATACTTCCTACTCGCGCTGTACTCTCCCTCAAGCTCCAATTACTCTTTGTCTGCATCTAAAAGCTCCCACCGCACTGCTGGCACTACAAAAAGAATAACAGCTTCCCCAATACTGAAATGCACCCACTTCCGGGGGTGGAAGGCACAACGATTGTTTAACGGTCTGCAGCAATGCTAGACATTGGAACAGGGAAGAAAGTGAGGCAAAATCCCGTTTCTGTTTTAAAAAATACAAGGGGGAGTTTAGGAAGGGAAAATAATTAACTTTCTAACTGCATAATTAACTAAAACTGCAGTTTTAGTTCTTCCAGGACACCCGGGGCCCTGGCCCTACTTCTTGTAAAAAGTAAAATGGGATTTTTTTTTAAAACTAGGCCAGGAACAAAATTTACATCCATCCAAAAGACAGCAGTTCCACCAGCACAGTGCCCCTTGGCCCCACAGCACTGACTCATACGAATCACTGGCCGTTTTCTGGGCCCAAAGCCTCCCAGCAGCACGCTCACATCATTGCATTCCTCACCATGTCAGAGAGAACAGAGCCTCCTACTGAATCCCAATTACCGTCCTGCCACAACTTGGGTTTTCCTCTTGCGACTTTGACCTTCGGAGGTCACAGCTCAAGGTGAAAGTCACAGCTCAGGTGAAGGTCACAAGCTTAAGATCATGTGAATGCAGGGAGGGCCCCTGACTTTTTTTAGGCCAACAAGGGAAGGACTGCAGAGCCATTGAACTGGAATGGAAGGAAAAGGTGCACTGCTGGTAAGTCCCGTTCCCCCTTAATGCCCCCCTCCTTCTTTGGAGCTTTTTAGAATGATAAGAGTCGGGAGAGATTTAGCTTAAATTAGGTTTACAAATAGCCCAGTGAATAGGGAAATGAGATGCATATGCTGCATGTTAAAGTGTCACTGCTATGCAGCCCAGTGCGACTGGGATTTGGAAGGAAGCCGGGTCCCGAAGATTAGGTGCAAAATACTGTCAGTCAGGAGCATGTTGGAAGGTAGATCTGGCTGCCTCTCCGAGTGTGCTTTCCAACTGCTGGCCAAGGCTGCCCCCTGCTGTCTTTTCCCCAGCAATGACCCCTCCTAAAGTTTTCACTCCCTAAAATCAGGATGAAAATCCCTGCTGCAACATTGGACTGACGGCAGAGCCCAGCTACAAGGGTTCACGGCACCATCAGAGTGGCTTAGGCCCCACGGAAAGAGGGTGTGACCTTGAAAGAGGTGGTGATTTTCAAAGGTTTAAAGTGTGGTCATGGTCTGGGGTAGAGGGGGAAGGGGAGGAGGAGGGAGTCTATTAAAATGACAAATCAGTGCTCTCAATTTTTTTGTCTATCATAGAGATCTATTCTCCATCCAAAGAAGATCTTTTTGCAAACTGTTGCAACTATAGACTCCATCTGGCAGCTAAACATCAAGCTGTGGGTTTATTCCTTTAAATAATGGAACATGTTGAGAGTGGAAGCGGCTGCCATGACAGCCCTGGAGACTCAAGTCCTTTATCTGCAGGACACGCACAGTATCATGGCCAGATTCCCTCATATCAGTCCCTGCCAACCTGGCTCAAGCTGTTGGCCTGGAGGCACCCCCCTCTAAAGGTGAGTGGGTAATTTTGATCTCCATGGCCTCTGCAGCCCTTAGGTTCTCTGCTGAGTCTGATGCTAGGAGGTGGTCAATTAGTGGTACTCAGCTATTTTTTTTAACCATCCTTAAAGGATAATGCATAAGATTAAAATGTTGCTTTAAATGCCATTAGCTTCCATGTTGGCAGGGCAGAGTGAGTGCTGGGCATAAGCTCACTGCTTGGAAAATCAGAGACCATCAGTAGAATAGCCCTATTTTTGGACTGGAACTCCAAGGGCTCTACCTGCCTTGAAGCACTGCCTGCTGGAAATGAGACAAAATGTCCAGGACTAAAATTTGGGAAAAGCAACTCTCTCTTTAAGGGGTGCATCAGCCAAATGTCTGGGGCAAGACTCTCTGGGAATACCCCCATTCTGAATTAGTCACCTCCACCCTACACAGTGCAATAGGAAGAAATATCCAGTATCTTTCCTGAAGCTATGAAACCTGGAAATAGAAAAGGAGTAGCTCCTAGACCTATCCCCTCTTGGAAGTCTCTATTTGGGTTAGGGCTTTTTTCTGCCTCCTACTAGAATCAAGCCCCTCGAAGTGAAGGGATTTGATTATATGCTTCCTCAAAAATTCTCTGTGACTTTTGCCAAGTCAATTGATTTCAATGAAGCTGGTGCACCAATGCCAGTGAGTTCTGGGCCTGAGATTTTCCTGGGCCTCAGTTTCCCCATCAATGGAGTTAACAGCATTGCCCTGCCTCAGTACGGTGTTGTCAGGATAAATCGGCTAGTAATGATGAGGCATTCTGATGTTGTGGTGACAAGGGTCGTATAAGTAGCTTATCCGGACAGGTGATATTGCTACTGCTGAGTTCTAGGCCCCTCCTTCTCCTGGGCACTGTATCACATCTGGACAAGGACTTTCTCTCTAGTTCAGACCAAAGATGTGGCCTCTGCATAATGAATGGGTAGTTTTCATTCTGAGTACTTGCATCCACAAACTGCTGCTATTCATGGGGCCCCTTGCAGCAGTCCGAGCAGAGCAATCACGGACAGACTACACCAAGGAAGCTGAACCATAGCCTCACCTTTAGAGGGAGTCTTCCGGGCCATACTATGATTAGACAACACTGTGCAGTAAGAGACTTGCCCAAGACATATGGTCATCTCCTGACTCAGCCAAAGCCAGGCAGCAGAGGATCTCTGGTCCCCCAGAAGGGGATGAGATAGCAGAATGGCTCAGAGCCAATGCTTCTTTAAGGAGAGGAATGGGGGATGTCAGGGAGCAGAGGGCTGGAGTCGCTGCAGGTTTCACAGCATGTGAGGAGAAAGGAGAGCAAGTGAGGAGCACAGCTTCCAAGATCCAGCAGGCAGAGACTTCCTCACAGCCCAGGGTCCCATCTTGCCCATTTGAGGCAATGAGGGAGGGAGTGGCGAGTTATTTGAGGCTGGACTAGAGGAGGTGGTTTTATCAGTGGAAGGCAGGATTTATTTAATGTGGGGAAGTGGAGTTATCACACCAGCACAGGGGAATATCTTTCAGATTCCTCAGGCTATGATTGTTGCCCCCTGCTCCTGATTTTGGATGCAGAGAGCTAGCAAGCATGCCGCAGGGAGCTGCTGCATTCCTGCATCCGCCTCGGAGAAACAGCTCCCGTGCTTCTAAGCATCTGCTTTGGGCTGCTACAGGGACAGTTGTTCCTCAGCACAGCTTCAGCTTTCCCTCAGGACACAGCACTGAGGAGAGGGATGCTGGTGGCATGCTAGACCCCAGTACCAGCATAGGGAGAACAAGGCAGGGGAAAGCACTCTGAAGAAATGGTACGGGAAGGACAATGGGGAGGAGCACTAGCAGTAGCAGCAGCAGCAGCAGCAGCAGAGGCATATGGGGAAGGAGACAGAGACTTGGGGCAGCCACTCAGCCTATGCATGGAGAAATGAGAGTGGAGTGGGGAGTTGGAGTTAGGGCACTGAGGAAGGGAAAAGAAAAGAGGAAAGGGAGAGAAGGAGGGGCAGGTCCTGGGGAAGGACCCGGGAAGGGAGCATCTCTGCATTAGGCTGCACAGAAATCCAACCAGGACATAGCAAGAGCAAAGAGCAACCCCTCCCAAAGGACAAGGACATGGACAGGAGCGGAGAGAGGAGAGATGACGAAGGGAGAAGTGGATAAGAAAGGCAAGGGTGTGTGGGAAGAGGGGCTGAGGAGCAAAGCCCATGCTCCAGGAATTTGTTTTAAAAAGACAGTCCCCTCTCCTTCCCTCCCCACCCCTCCTGCCCAGGCTTGAGGCCCAGTGAGGAGTGCAGCCTGGACAGAGCTGCAGCAATTCATGTCTGGGCTTTCGGTGTGTACAGAAAGTAGCCTTCAAGCTGGCACCCTCTGGTAGAATTAAATTAATTTTACCAAATCTCAGCCTGAAGTGTTTTTCTGAACACTCCTCAGAGCTTGTTCCTTGATGATGTTTTCGCCAGCGTTTGGGTAAGCTGCTATGGATCCATCTGATTTAGCTCAGTGGGGAAGGGCCTAGATGGTGGAGGTAAAGGTTTAGACTTTCCCTGATCAGTACCGATGGCTGTGTGCTCATCACTTCAGAAATGGTAGGCGAGTGCTGTGGCTGGCCTACCCTGAATAGCCAGCCTGACATTGCTGCCTGGAGCAGTGGTTCTCCTTCAGCCCAAGCCACTGGCCAGATGTATGGCTCCAGAGTCAGCAGTACCCAGCCTACTTCTCAGTGTTGCCAGTATATCACTGAGCCAGAGGGTCATCGTTTCAGCAGGTACATTGCACATGTATTCACAACTGCAGAGTTATTTAAATGCCTTCTTACCTGAATTCCAGTTGTACTGTAAGTTACCTACTGATAAGAGAGGCAATAAACATGCCTGCACCCTGACCTTCTCTTTTTTTACATCCCCAAGACACAAGACAAACACTTAGCTCAATATGTTTCGGGCTACCAGTACCAGGGCAAAGTTGTTTCTCACCTATACTGCCTGGGGAGACTCAGGAGGAGGAAGATGGCACATAGACAGGTCTCGTCTTTTCCAAGCAGTCCATAATCCATTTACACATACTTTCATCTAATCCAGAATTTCCCAACTTTTTCCAGCCCAAGGCACACTTACATTAATAGAAATTTTTCACGGCACACCTGTTAAGACATTCCCCATCCTTATACCTATAGTAGCTCCCTGCCACAGCAAAAGTCTGTGGCACACCTATTCATTTCTGATGGCACACTTTTGCGCCATGGCAACGGGTTGGGAAACACTGGTTTAATCCATTCTTTCTCAACATTTTTAGATGCAAAGTACCGTTCAGAAAATGCCAGCTCTTAGCTTTCCCTCATTTTTTTTGACTAGAGAATAACACTAGAGCAATCCTAAGTCTAAGATGACAAAAAGTCAGAATATTCATTACACTATGGAGTCCTAGTTGAAATCTCTGGGTTTATCTTGTGAATCATGTACAGGTGATTGCACACCTACCAGTGCTAATATTGCAAGGCCACCTTCAAAGAGTCTTGCAGCACCCCAGAGTGCCAGAGCGCCCTGGTGGAGAATCACTGATCTAATCCAACAAATACTGTCTGACTGGGTCATGTACATTTCTTTGTTATAAAACCAGGTCTTCCATGGCTCTGCAAGGTATTGAATAGCTGTGGTTTGTGAAAATGGCAATTTTGGGAAGGGTCGATTTCTTCTCTCGTTCCTTCACCATCTTGGAAGATTGCTTGGCATATTCCTGTTTGCTTTTTCCCTTACCTTATGGTCTTTCCTGACAATGCTGATTTTATGTATACAGCTTAAGCAAGAATCTTAACAAATGTATACCTGTTACAGTGCATCTACATGAAGTACATTTGGTGATATTATGGATCCCTTCACCTTACATTCTCAAGCTAGAGCTACAACTGTCTATACTTGGGCTATGTCAGTCCAGGTTTCCTTGTTTCCTGCTAAGCCTTTCTCACTTAACCTAAAAGGTAGATTTTACCATTTGCTTAACCTAACAGGTTGATGGCTTTAAAACTCATGCTTACATGGCGTTTGCCCTGCTCACATGACTCATGCGACGGTTACTTAGAGTTTGAAGATGACTTCAGGCCTACTGCTTGGCTGCCCTCCTCCAGCTTTGTCAGGCCCCAGAAATGACCAAAACATGGACTTCATTGTGTGTTTAGCCTCAGGAGCATGAGTTTGGTGGTGAGCAAAGTCATGCTGAATTGCACAAAGCAAGACTCATGCCTAGATGCTGCAATGATAGAAATGTGGAGAATGCTGCAATGATACAGAATGTTCCCCTTTCTCTTATAGTCACTGAAAGATTTGCATTTATCTTCTAGGGCTGAGGAGGGCATTAGAATTAGTTTCCAGTACATCTGACTACACAGCCCATCTATGACTGTGGGGCTGCACATCACTGTCCTGTACTTAATAAAAGGTCCACTGGGACCTAATTTTGCCTCCTGCAGGAAGCAAGTAACTCCTGTTTATTTTACTCAGAGTTACTTGTACCCTGTAGGGAGAAAGCACAGCTCCCAAGGAGTATTTGATTCAGTGTTTAATCTGGTTCTGTGAAAAGGTTGTATTAAAAGACTGGGTTTTTCTCTAAAGACTCATGATTGTGCAGCCCATAAATCCAATACACAGTCAGACTTCTCTTAAAAGGAGCCAAGAGCTAAAATCCTTAAATCATGGGTAGTCCTGGGGAAAATCCTAGAGTATGGTCAAATGTAAGTGCATGAAGAATGCAGAACAATAAATCATTTCTATTGTTCCCATCACCACAATATCTAGGTGTCAGTACTAATACCTACTAGCAAGATGGTCCTCTACACATACTAAGTAATTAATCCTTCATAAACCATAAAACAAGGGAAGTAGTACTATTCACATGTTGCTGTTAGGAAAAATGAGGTATGGAAAAACTAAAGCTAACAATTTTATTCTTGGTTCCTCACACTGTGGCAAAAAATGGTCTCCAATACAGATAGGTCTTCATTTCTGATCTCCCAAGGTTTGGGGGTTGTTCTTTTATTTCAGATTAGCTGCAATCTACCCCAAATGTATGTCTGCTAAGTCAAACTCCGTCAGTCTCTATCCAAAGAACATCTTCCAGCTGGTGTTTGTACCAGTTTAACCAAATCTGTCCAAAGTTTAACGGGTACAACTTTCCTGTGTAAACAAAGCAGTACTGGGTTTTTTGTCATTTTTCTCAGCCACATAAAATTGCTTGCCTAAACTAGGATGCTGACCCAACTCCCACTGCTGCTGACACAACTCCCAATGATGGAAGTTTTTTCAATAACTTCAACAGACTTGGAAAATCTTTCAGATAATTTCTGAGCAGAAAGAAAGGCACTCTTCTTGTTTGTTTAGCGTAGGTCATCAGTATCAGAAGCAGAAACAATAGCAAGGGATTCCAGTGACTAATAGCATGGTGCAAATAGAGAACAATAAATTGGGACTTATTCATGATGACCATTTCAAACAATGAAGCAGCTAACATTTATTCCCACTAGCTATTCGCTGAATGCCTGCAAATAACAAATGAATTAATAAAAATCATGCCCTGAGTGTGAATAATTCATGAACAGCAAAAATTATTTGGAAAAAAAAAATATTAGCAAAGAATAATTTGACCAGCTCTCATTCCAAACCTTGAATTTTATTAAATCCAACCTCAAATCTAATTCTGTGCATATACCATAACTGACAGGCATTGCAACACTATGGAACAGTTCGGGGGGGAGGGGGCCATATGGCTTGCATATCAACTAAGAGAAAGGGTTTGGTACAAAAACCTTGTGGCAATGGTAATTCACAGAGACTGTGCAATATATTGATTGACAAGATCAGCCCAAATGTCATACCACCAAGAACACCCACTTCATCTAGGTCTGGTGTCACTGACCTGAAGAGAAATGGTGCTAAGAAACAGAATTTCATGTCATAAGCCATGTTGCAAAAGCACGAATATAAGGGAGTGTTTGCGGCTTGGATTTAATACAGACCCTCCTGTTAGCTCTGATCTTAACTGCAGATCTACAACCGAGCTCTGATCTTAACTGCAGATCTACAACTGGATGTCAAGTAACCCTCAAATTCAGGGCTTTCCCCCATAGGAGCAGAGGATGATAGGAGTCACTCATTCCTGGCCAGGTCCAAAGCCTAAAGGTGTCTGATTTTTCCTGATTCCACTCTAAATACAAGTGAAATCTCACAAGCTGAATTGCTCACATGAGATTTTTTGCCTTTTGGGAGCCAGAGTCTCATGAGGCGGTTTTGAGAGAGTATGTTGCTGTCAAATGTGAACCACAACTCTGACTTGGGTCCAAGTCTGGGTACAGTCCATTCAACAAGTTTCTCAAGGGGAAGTCCTTTGTTTGGCCAGCATGTAGGCTAGGCTGGATACTGGACCCTCTGTGCATCTCCCACAAGACATGAAGAATTCACACAGAATGTAGGAGCAGGAGAAATCTTGGGGAGAGCCCAGGCCCCCAGATTTCAAGTGCTGGGAAGGTCAGGAGCATGAGTTGAAGCCAGTTTAAAAAAAGACAACCCAGAACTCCTCTGGGAGGTTTAACCTGTGAGGTAGCCCATCCTTACACAATGCCACTGGGACAAGCTTTCCACGGTTTGGCCAACCACAGCTCTGTGCTGTCTGGCACGCCATCTGGTCCCCACCCATGGGTTTGTACCTGCCTGGTGAACAACACAAAATTAGATTATACTAGAACCCTTCTGTATTTTGTGTCTAGCCCCTTGGAAATTTTGCATTGTTAAAATGAATGCTCTGCAAATGTCCAGACCTGATCTGGATCAGAGGTTTTTTGGGTCATGGATTCAGGCAGTCCACCAAAGAAGAAGGAATGAGCTTGGAATCTGAGATTACAACCTAGCGAACATTGTTTGCTCCAGGAATGGGAACAGGGTGTTCAGTTCAGTCAGTAAAGCAGCAGCCACGATGGTACTGTATGAAGATATTATGTGATAATCATAACGAACAGATGGGGTGTTCAGACTGAGACTGTGGGCAGTCTCTGCTTCATGTGATCAAAGGGTATAATTAAATAAGAGATGAAACATAGGCCAGGATGCCAAGCACTAATGGTACAGGCATGCAGAGGGAATGGGGAGACTTGCAGCTAATGCAGTTCCTGATACTTCCATAGGATGTCAGCCTAGGGCCACCAGAAAGGCTAGATCTATGACCCAAATCCAGAAAAAGGGAAAATAAATGTTAATGATATAATGTTCGTCAAACAGTAGCATACAGAGTTTCATATTAACACAGGAAGCACCTTCTGTGGATACACACCCTGTGGAATTACACCATGGGTGGAAGACAGGTAACAACCATCTGGATTTTTTGGATGTGCAACAGGTGGCCATGGAAAATAATTATTGTGTGCCGTAGATAACTGTTTTGGACAAATGCTTCAAAAGCCTATGGGAGTTGCATATTTGCTTGCTTTCTTCCTGCTCTCCAAGATGGCTCTGTGTATGTTCTTTATACACAATACCACTCCCCAAGAAAGCTGAAAGCTTGCACACTACCTAAAGCTACCTGTTTTGACTGTTCCTCCCCCATGCCCCAGACACTGCCGTAAAAAACAACACTCTTTAGGAAGGCCACAGAATCCATCCTTCCAGCTCCAGTGTGAGATGAATATCATAATTCCAGTTCTGGAGATGAAGAAACTGAGGCACAGAGAGGCCATATAGAACAAGCATAGCCCCAGCCAGTTATAAAACAGTCCTGACTCCTAGTCTGGTATTCAAGCCCCCAGGCAGCCCCTGCCTTTGAACATCTACAATGCCTCTCCGTTCTATAAAGGCTTTCATTTCAAAGGGAATATTTTCCCTTGCTCTGTGCCTGGAAAGAAAGTTCTTTCTGTTGGCCTGATCTGCATTTCACTGAGCAAAGACAGGCATGGTTTTGTTGCCCCTTATGTTACATGTGTTTCATGTCACATGGCAGTCTTAAGCTTTGTAGGTCTGCCTGTCCTCAGGGTCCCCTCACAGCAGAAAGGAACATAACTTAAGAAGTCTTTTTACTCATGTCTGTGACACTGTCTATCCCTAATGAGAAGCCTGATCTTCAGCTGTCTCATACCACACTGGCTTTCCTCCAGGGCTAGCTCTAGGCATTGCTGCATTCGTTGTTGCAGTGGACTATAAAGGCCACATGCGAGCCACAAGGAGACATTGTACCAAAGATAAGCTGCCCTTTCCATGCAAACCCTCATCATAAAGGTCAGGCATATTAGGAGTGGATGGTGCAGTAAGCATGGGGATTTGGAGCTGCTCCATGATGCATATCCTATCCCCCCTCCACATGCCCCAGTTTTACCATTTGTGAAGTGGGAAGAATGATACTCTGCTTGGTAAAAGGCTTAGAACTCCTTACATGCAAACAGCCATATAAGAAGAAACGTGTTACTGAGAAGACACTTGGGGCTCCAGCATCATGTGCATTAGTGTCCCCCTGCAGAAAAATGGTGGTATGTTCGACGAGCTTTAGTTAAAGTGCTCCCACCACCATTTTTCAGCTCAGGGACGCTGATATGCATGACACGCTGGGCGCTTTAATTAGAGCAGTTCTTGGAGCTTCTCTAACTAAAGTGCCCTCCACTCCACCACTCCCAGAGCACATCTATAAATGACCCTTGGATCCAGAGCTGGCAGCTCAGGCCCAGTTCTACTACTAAGCAGAGCATGTTTACATACAGTCAGACTTAACAACAAAGGCTCTTAGCTTAAATGAGTCAGATGAGGCTTTTAGCCACCATCTCCTTCCCATAAAATAGTATCATACAGAACATGGTTGCCTGGAAATCATAGAATCATAGAAAGAAAGACGGGAAGGGACCTGTAAGATCATCAAGTCTAGTCCCCTGCCACAGGGAAATGTTGAAGAAATGTTGTTCTTGTCCTGCTTAAGTATGATTAATATGTCCTAATACAGAAGCTGCCCCAGCCTGCTAAAACACTTATGAAGCCTTGGCTAGTCCTCCATATAAACCATGTCTTAATCTCCTCTCCTCCTTGATGCTATTTGCTTTTTGCAGGAATAGATTAAAATCCTGCCAACCCACTTTCTCACTGAAAGAAACACACAAAGAAAACCCCAACAGCTGGTTTAGAAATCTTAATATGAGCCCAACCCTGACATCCAACGTTTCTGCCCATGCCACTAGTCACAAGAGTAAGCACTACTTCTAGGACCAAGGGCTTGATCATGCACTCCTCATATGAAGAAAGATTATTTTGCACTATTAATAGGTACAAATAGATGCTAATCTAGACAAAATGCATCAGAAACTTAAAGAGACTGCTTCTGAAGTCTACCAAGATCCCCCTTCTAACAGACCATTGCCAGCAAAGTGTTTTAGCCTTTCACACAAAGTGTCATTTCTTCCCTTCTCAGTCCCTGCTGTCCAGCAGAGCTTACAGAACAATATCTCTCCAGTGGCTTGCAGACAGGGCAGTTTTGTGTTAACATAGCACCACCAAAATCTTTCCTGGTCAAACCTTCCCTTGCCGTGCATGGGAGGACCCCACAGATGTGCAGTTCCTCCTGCATAGAGTGTAAGTGATGTGCATGCCTGCCTTGGACAGGACATTGGGTGGGGGCACAGTTCAATTCCTTGCAATGTCTCCTCCTTATTAGGTTTCCCACACATTTTTTGTTTTGAAACAACGCTTTCAGTCAGGGAAAACAAGCCAACTGTGCTCCTGATGTTACTCTCCGTGTTGCTAAAGGCCCACTCTCTTTGTTTCACTGCCTTTGTGTAGTGCTTTGTGCTAGTTCCCATTTTGGAAAACTCGGGAATGGGGATATAACTTACTATGACACCTCATCTCTTTTAAACGTGTTGGGATGAGCAGGGATGGGTTTTAAAGTGACATCATTGACACCTGCAATAACAGCCATTGAAAAAACAGGGGCCATATCCACTGCAGAGCTGTTGTTCCAGCCTCTGCAAAATCAGGCATATCTACATCTGTTAGACTCACTCCACATCTTCAAGGTTTTCTTTGCAGCCTTGCTTGATCTTGAGGTACTTTCAAAAAAGGAAGCTACAACCCAGGATGACAGATGAGAGGCCGGTCTGGTGTTGTGGTCTCTATTTTATTTGTTTAGTGTAGTGCCCAGGCCTGGGCCACAACTCCGGGGTGGTGAGCCCTGTACAAAGAAAACAAAAGGAAGACCCCTGCTCAGGTGGGATGCAACTTTGTTCTCCCAACTCAAGAGGTGCAACTCACTTGACTTTTCCTGCCTGGTGCAGGGGGACTGGACCTGATGATCTACAAGGTCTCTTCTAGCCCCTAACAATCTATGCATCTATTAATCATACCTCGGAAAACAGTACTCCAGCAGATATTTAAGATTGTTCACTGCAGAATTTGACTTGAGAAAACCCAATAGCAGAGAATGGATAACATTACAGAATACTGACATAATAGAAACAAAATGCTGTGTTAATGTTACAGCAAGGTTGCACAGTGAAAAGACCAGAAATCTTGAGGTTACTGATCCCAGAGCAGCACTACCACCATGGCAACATTTGCAACCAAAGGATATAGGGGCTGTAGCTAAAGAAGTATTTTATAAATAAATATTTTAAGTTAGAAATTGCAAAGAAAATCAAGAACAGAATATATGGTACACGTGCAACATCTTTACGTTAACAATGCTCTTGGACTCTTCGTTCCTTTTACATTCATTCCATGGGATTTTTTTTTTCTTTCATTGAATTTTATAGGGTTTTGAAAGACACAATAAGAGAGACAAAACTGCGAGAAAATTTTGGGACAAATTACTGAGAGAGAGATTCTCCTTTTCTTGGCAATAACTGTTGATCTGACCTAAATATAGATCTCAGCTGGCAGCTATTAACATGCCCTGTAAGGTATAAGCTTTTGAAAACTCCATACACTCTGGAAGTGTGACTTCACTGAGTCTGTGATATTTCTCATGCCCCATTCACAATGCTCACAACTTTGTTAATTTCCCAACAGCTTCCCTACCTATCCAACCCAATGCTTATTAAAGGCACTAAAGTCAGTAAGAGTCTTCCCCTTAACTTCCAGAGGTGTCAGGGTCTTCATCACTGAAAAGCTCCTCAGGGAACAGTATGAATGCTGTGATTTGGGTATACTGTCATATGTGGAAGAAAGGTCCGGCTCAAGGGTTTCCCTAAGCCCAGCAGCTCATAGGGTTAGTGTAGTTACAGGACCCACCCATTTTCGTAGCCAGGAACACACAAGGGAGCAATGTGATTAATGTCGTGTTTGGTCACCTTTGCCTTCCCAACCCAAATGATCAGGTGTTTGCTTACAACTCAGTCTTCTGGGGGCAGCCTTTGGCATAAGTCCTGAGCAGGACTCAGCTTCATACCTCTGAAGCCATTGTGAGATGCTTTAGTTACTCTGTCACTGCACACCTCAGGGCGAGGAAATAGTGGGGCATTTTCTAAAACCATTTCTCCATCAACACAGAATTCAGAAAAGGCATAAGCCATTTTCCTCAGACCAAAACTCAGCTAGGGACAGAGAGGGAGACAGAGGGAGACAGAGAGAACATGTCGGCAAGCACAAGCCAATCTGTATGATTATATCCCAAAGACAAATTTCTTGAGGAGTGACAAAAAACAGGAAGTTACAACTGAACCCATTTTGCAACTTTTGCTATAGTGTTTACTACTACATAAATGCTTTAATAAAAGGAAATAATTGTTCAGAGGGTACCTGCTCTCTGTAGGTCACCTTTAAGAGAAAGCTTCAACAATGATGACTTTCAGAAATGTATAGTTGAGCCAAGGGTCTACCTGAGCCTCACAATCTATTGGAGCTGGGGCATACCAGTTTCTGCAGCCAACAACACATAAAGGAGCGATATGGCCAGTATCTAGTCCAGCCACCTTTGACTCCCCTGCCCCAGTGACCAGATGCCGAAATACAACTTGTCAACTAGGGACAGCCTTTGGTATGAGTTCAGAGCAGAGTATGAACTCACACTTCTGGAGCCCTAACAAGACCTCATACCACTCTGTCAACATTTTCTTAAAACTAGGCAAAAAAAAAAAAGGAAAGAGCAGCCAGTGAAAATGGCTCCTTTTATATGAATAAAGTTTTATTGAATTTTACACAATTAGAAAGAACAAAGAAAGGGAGCAAACAGTCTCATAATGAGTATAATCAGAAGAGCTACCTCAGCCCTGGCAAGGGGCTGCCAGGGAGAGCATCCCTTTAAATGTCATGGAGGAGTTGTTAAAAAAAGCATAGAGAATTTGTCGGCCTATTTTCAACATAGAGTTTTGCAATCCACTTCCCTCCTTCCAAGCCATGATGGGAGAGACAGACGGTGCACGAGGAAAGAGACTGCTCTCTGTGAAAGATGTATTAAACATGGCAACCACCTGCCTGGTCTGCTGGAAGATTTGCATTCTCTGCAGACTGAGTTGCATGTGAGGGGAATGGGGATGTACGGATATTTTAAGCAAAGAAGGCACAGAATCTCAGCCAAGCTTCAAACCAGTGAGGCCCTCCCCACAACATCCATGTTCCTCCTGGAAGAGACGTTCCAGGAGACTCACCCCACCGTGTCTGTGTGGACAGGAAAGGTGCAGTCTGGACAGAAAGCCTTCCCCCCAGCAGGGTCTGTGCTGGGATGGAAGGTAAAGCATTGCTGGGGAGGATACAAGGATGTTGATGATTGATTTCCAGACACCCCTTTTCCATGGAGGGTTCAGAGGTGAGGACCACCTTGCCCCTTCCCAAATGGAAAGGGAAGCTCTGAGGGAAGCATTCCCTTTGAGTGAACATATATGAATGAAGCGCATACAACCATTGAGCTGGAGCTACTCGGACCAGCCTCCTTGAGGTTTTGGGACCCAGCCCCTCAGACTCCGGCCCCTTTGTGGCATCAGGTCCTTTAAACAGTTTGGACCCTCAGCTTTGATTAAGGCTATTTAGTTGCAAGAGAAAAACCTGGCTGTATGTGAGCAGTTGCAGCACAGAGGCCTCCAAGCCCTGTATGCATCTGCCAGTGTGAGGTGCCACAGAGACCTGGCCAGAGCACCTGGAGGGAGTCAGAAAGACAGTACAAATGCCTCAGGAAGCCGTCATGGCTGCTAGGCCCCTGATTTCACTCCTTCTAAGGAAAGGTCTTTAAAAACCAACCCTGTACCCTGTAAGGGAGGAATAAATATGGAGCCTCAACGTGAGGGCCCTGCGCATAACACAAACTGTGCTGTGGCCATGCAGGCCAGCCCCAAACAACCCTGTAGGGAGAACCTGCCATGCAAATGCCAAAGCGAAGCCCAGCTCTGAGATTTGAAGCCACGCACCCACAAACAGAACAGCCCGCCAGCACTGGGAGCTTCAAGGCCAGCTTCTCGGGCACTGCCTGCTGCTCCCCCACCCCACCCAACCCTATGCTGCTAGAAAAGAAAAAGAAAAACATCCCACAGTCATAGCATGTCCTCTTTGCAAGCAGCTTCTCGGGGAAAGTTGCCTAGAGGGAGGCAGTTTCCATGGAGGTGAAGGAGGCTCTGGAAGCATCCCGAGCTAGTGCAGGAAAATGTCCAGTGTGAAGGAGACAGGGGGTAGGGAGGAAA